CAGGAGGCAACCAATTGATGTGTTTCTCTCACATCGATGTTTCTGTCCTTCCCTCTCTCTTCCACTCTCCCTAAAGTCAATGGAAAATTATCCTTGGGTGAGGATTAAAAAAAAAATGATTTGAGAAGTTATCTGAGGCCTAGAATAAAGGTGTTTTCTTCCAATGGGGACTTGAATATGCTTGTCAGGTTCCTAGGGACATCACTGCTCAGTCAGGCAGTACTTTATTTTTATTTTTTTAATTAAATCTTTATTGTTCAGATTATTACAGGTGTTCCTCTCCCCCCCCACCATAGCTCTCCTCCACCCAGTTCCCACCCCACCCTCTGCCCTTACCCCTCCCACTGTCCTCATCCATAGGTGTACCAATTTTTGTCCAGTCTCTTCCTGAACCCCCACACCCCTTTCCCCCCAAGAATTGTCAATCCACTCCCTTTCCATGCCCCTGGTTCTATTATCTTCACCAGTTTACTCTGTTCATCAGATTTTTTATTCACTTGATTTTTAGGTTCACTTGTTGATAGATATGTATTTGCTGTTCATAATTTTTATCTTTACCTTTTTCTTCTTCCTCTTCTTAAAGAATACCTTTCAGCATTTCATATAATGCTGGTTTGGTGGTGATGAACTCCTTTAGCTTTTTCTTATCTGTGAAGCTCTTTATCTGACCTTCAATTCTGAATGATAGCTTTGCTGGATAAAGTAATCTTGGTTGTAGGTTCTTGCTATTCATCACTTTGAATATTTCTTGCCACTCCCTTCTGGCCTGCAAAGTTTCTGTTGAGAAATCAGCTGACAGTCGTATGGGTACTCCCTTATAGGTAACTGACTTTTTTTCTCTTGCTGCTTTTAAGATTCTCTCTTTGTCTTTTGCTCTTGGCATTTTAATTATGATGTGTCTTGGTGTGGTCCTCTTTGGATTCCTTTTGTTTGGGGTTCTCTGCACTTCCTGGACTTGGAAGTCTATTTCTTTCACCAGGTAGGGGAAGTTTTCTGTCATTATTTCTTCAAATAGGTTTTCAATATCTTGCCCTCTCTCTTTTGCTTTTCTGGTTGGGTGTTTTTTGCTTCTTCGTATTTCAAATCTTTGACCTGATTCTTGCGATCATCTGGTCTGCTGTTGGGAGTCTGTATAATATTCTTTATTTCAGTCCGTGTATGCTTAATTTCTAGTTGGTCCTTTATCACAACATCGAGGGTCTCACTAGATTTCTTAAGGATCTCAATACATTTATCGGCGGTTTCCATAAAATTCTTGAAAAATCTTAGAACCGTGGTTTTGAACTCTATATCCAGTCGTTTGCTGTCCTCCATTTCTGTCATTTGTGACCTGTTTCTTTGTCTTCGCATTTTGTCTGCTTCCCTGTGTTGGTAGAGTGGCTTTGTGTGCTAGGTGTCCTACAGGGCCCAGTGGCTCAGCCTCCCCAATTACCTGAGGTGGACACTCTTGGTGCACCCCCTTGTGGGCTTTGTGCACAGTCTTGTTGTAGTTAAGTGTCAGGCAGTACTTTAAACTCAATGCAGCATCTGAAATAATTCAGCGATATGAACCCGGGCAAACCTAACCTGGGGTGAGTTATGGGCCTCACTCTGCGATGCCAAGCGTGTCCGTGGGTAAGTCGGGAGAAGGCTCTGGTGTCCTCTTTGTGAAAGGAAAACCTCCTGTTAGATTTCATCTCGTGGGCATTACTGCTGTCCCCTCACTCATGAGGCCTACAAGTCATAACTCACATTTGCCAAACGCTCTTAGGGAATGCAGTTATAAGCACAATTTTCACAATTCTTGCTTTTTCTTTTTTTTAATATATTTTATTGATTTTTTACAGAGAGTAAGGGAAAGGGATAGAGAGTTAGAAACATCAATGAGAGAGAAACATCCATCAGCTGCCTCCTGCACACCCCCTACTGGGTATGTGCCTGCAACCAAGGTACATGCCCTTGACCGGAATCGAACCCGGGACCCTTCAGTCCGCAGGCCGATGCTCTATCCACTGAGCAAACCAGTCAGGGCTCTTGCTTTTTCTTTAACCTGGTAATTATTTAATTTCTTCTTAGCTCTTTGATGCTTTTAAGAAAATTAATTTTTTGCAGCATTTTTAGATGTTTTTGTTTGTAGAGTTGGTGCAAAGCCTACACCACCATATTTCTTACAGAAGTGGCTGAAGTTTGCTAAAAGTTGTAACAAACACAACAGTTTACAAACTTTTTATTTCTGAACAGAACCACAGAACTCAAAGGGCCGGAAGGAACCTAGGCTTCCTCAGTGTTCTGATCTCTTCTACTACACGAGTGTTTCTGCGCATCACCAGTTTAACCACTTGCTCTAAGGCAGTTCTCAGAACTTCCTGAAAGTTACCCCAGGAAAACTGCATCCAGCAACAAGAGGAGGCATCGGGTGCTGAGGTCTAAGTGAAGAGGTAAAGCCCTCACGCTGCCCACACCCCACTGGTCACTGCCAGGTGCCTTCAAATCCTTCACTGGGTACTGGGCTCTGGCTCTAATGATTCTGGAACTCCAGGCAGTTTTCCAAACAAAAGAAGTGGTTATTTACAGCCCTAAACTGAAATCATAAATGTCATTTGCTAAATTTCACAGAAATGTCAGTATAACTCTCCCAACAAAATCCCACATACAGTGAGTCTGCCTGGGCCAGGTAAAAAGGGTTTTAGTTATAAAATAAGAAAGGGCCTGGCTGTGGGTTCGTTCAGACCGCCTGGTGGTCCTGCAATATATACTCTGAGGACAGCTTTGCAGCAACGTTTCTGATACAGACCATTTAGACTGGGAGCCAGACTACATTTTTCTCCCCAAAATTATAAGGAATCAGCAGTATTCCTGTAAATTGCCCCTTTGTGAATGAAATAACTTTACTTAGATTTTCATCATGAATACCCTCCTTATAAAGATTATTTTACTTTTTCCTCAAAAATTCTGTGATTACTTTAATCTAAAACAATATTCACGAGATAAGGTGTACACAGTGGTATTTTCAAGCAATTGCCCTTAGTCCAAAGTGTAAGTGCCCTTTATAAAACCCTTTATAGTTATTTTACGATAACTATGGGGATTTTTCCAAGGCACAGCAAACCTCCAACACCACGCCTGACATCGACCTGGTCCTGAACCCTGTCCCTCAGCGTGGAGTCTGTGGTCCTGCCCGTGCCACGGCCAACACGCTGTCTCCGCTCCACACAGGACCATTGTCTGCGGCCAAACGCAGCTGAGCACCACCTTGTAAGTAACTGGTCATAATTCCACCCCCGGGCAACGTCTTGACCAGCCCAGCCGCAGTGTCACCTGGGAACTTGCTAGAAATACAAAATCTTGGAACCCACCCCATAACCACTGAACCAGAGAGCCAAGGGCAGCCCAGCAACCTGTGTTTTAACTAGTCCTCTAGGCGATTCTGACACAGACTAGAGTCTGGGCTCCTGCTCCAGAGACATTCTCATGTATTTGCTCTGACACAGGAATGTGCAAGCAGCACTGTCTCTCTCTCTCTCTCTCTCTCTCTCTCTCTCTCTCACACACACACACACACACACACACACACACACCCAATTCCTGAAAACAAATGTTTATGCCAAGAGAATGGATTAAAAAACTGTAGTATTAACACAATGAAGTATTCACTGTATAACAGAGAAAATAAGTGAAAAACATCTATACTTATAAGCTTAAAAAAACTTAGAACCATAATTGTGAATGTTATAATCCACAAAGGTCTAGAGTATATTTTATAAAGGTCAAATACAAGCAAGACTAAGTAATATATTATTTAACAATACATTTATGTGATAAAGCAATAAACCTATTTTTAAAAAACAAAGAAAAACCACCCCTTTAATTCTATGCAGTGTTTGCCCGGAGGGAGCCGAAGTAGGTGGGTGAGGCAGGATCACACCAGGAATAGTCCACTTCTTACATTGGGGTGGTGAGTTCACAGTTGCTGGTTGCACTTAAGTTACTTTTATCACTACAGTCTTTTTAAAGTATAAAATGTTATATAATAAAGTTTAAACCCAGAAAATAAGAAAAAAATATATGGCCGTTACTTTAAATTAGGAAAATTAGAAACCACCTAAGATATAAATTGTGTAAACTGTGACACATTTTTTTGGTTAAAAAAATGTTAAAGACATGAGAAATTATTCATGATAAAATTTGACATAAAAATTTTTAAAAACATGTATAGTAAAAAGGATTAGAAAAAAATATAATGAAATGTCAACAGTGGGCATTACAGGGAGTTTTATTTCTTTGTACATTTTATAGTGAATACTAAAGACTTGTAAAATTATTAAGGACTAGAGGCCCGTTGTAGGAAGAGATTCGTGTAATAGGCCTTCCCTTCCCCTGGCTGCTGGCACTGGTTTTCCTCCGGCCCCCAGGACCCAGGCCTTCGCTCCGGCCGGAGCCTTCAGTCTTCGCTCCACGGCTTCGAGCCTACGTATGCAAATTAACCGCCATCTTTGTTGGGTTAATTTGCATACTCTCCTGATTGGCTGGTGAGCATAGCGGAGGGATGGTCAATTTACATGTTTGTCTACTATCAGGTAAGATATTTTCAACTGTCACTGAAACATTTAATGATTGTAAGTCATTAAAGAAAACAGCCAAATCTGCTGGTAGAGGAAAATTGGTGTTTTGTGAAAATCTATGATCTATGTATGAGCTTTATGACTCAAAGCTGTATATTTTCTCCTATAAAACTGTATATCTTTATTGATATGATTCCATTTAAAATAATTTCATTTTATTTATGTGGAGAAAAATATGACTGAGGAAACCATGACCTAAGGAACATTTTTTGTTATTGAGGACTTCAATTAAAACAACTGAAAAAAGGTCAACTTAATTAAGAACAAAAGAAAATCATCCATCAATGGAAGGCTGACTGGATTTTGGAAACAACAGAAACGCACACGCCAGCCTCTGCCCGTCGCCTTAGAGAGAAAGACCCACAGAGACAGGGGCCGAGGCCAGAGGCTGGTTCCTACCTCCTTCTCCAGGATCCTCGCGATCTCTCCCAGGGTCCGATCCAACGCGGAAACCTTATTGTTTGCCCACGACCCACTGTCTTGGACTTGCAGCTGTTTTAGAAGGTCTTTGGCCAGTCGCTGAAGCCTTCAACACAAAATGAAAGGGAAGGAATGAGTGAAAGGGAATGGCGCCATTCATGAGCGAGACCACAAAATCTCATTTTTCTAAGCTTTTTGAAACAAAAGTTACTCCCATTATTGTATTAGAAACTGCTCCCAAGAGCACCTGGGGGAGAAATACAAGCAACCACCTCCAAGGCTGGTGCAGATTCCTGGTCACCAACAACCATCCAGTCCTCACGCACAGCAGAAGCGGACGGCACTGTCTGTGCACAGGGCTGGGGAGAGCAGTTGTGGCTGTCACCACCGTGAACAGAACTGGAGATGCCGAGAGGTGAGTACAATGGCAGAGAACCTGAGTGTAACAACCTGAGCAGTTTTTTTGTTGCTGTTGTTAATCCTCACCCAAGGGTATTGTTCCCATTGCTTTTTAGAGAAAGTGGGGGGCGGGGGGGGGAGAGAAAACAGTGATGTGAAAAAGACACATTGACTGGTTGCCTCCTGCACACGCCCCAACTGGGGGCAGGGAGTGACCCCAATGAGACACTTTGGTGCACAGGCTGTCGCTCCAACCGCTGACCAACACCGGCCAGGTCAGTTTTTCATATTTTGATTTAAATCTTTAAGCTGGCTTGGACATTATGTTATTAGCATTGTAAACTCTCAACGTCAAACTCCCCATGGTCCAATTTACAAGCAATTTGGGATTCCCTGCCGACTGCTAATGTCATTTACTTAGAAAATCAAGCTATTACCTGCATTTCACCAGGAAATACTACATATTACCTAGATTCTGGGGTTCTTTAGTAAGGGGGCTGCTATCATATTTCTTGTGGCCCCTACTTCTTCTGTTTCTCTGTGAGCAATCTTTTCCTTTCCACTCACTTGCTTCAGCACCTCACCAGCTGACACTCACTAACCAGTGATGGCGAACCTATGACACGCGTGTCAGAGGTGACACGCAAACTCATTTTTTTGGTTGACTTTTCTTTGTTAAATGGCATTTCAATATATAAAATAAATATCAAAAATATAAGCCTTTGTTTTACTATGGTTGCAAATATCAAAAAATTTCTACATGTGACATGGCACCAGAGTGAAGTTAGGGTTTTTCAAAATGCTGACACGCTGAGCTCAAAAGGTTCGCCATCACTGCACTAGACCCTCGCCCCGTCTCTCCAGTGTCCTCGCTCAGACCCTGTTGCTGACCTTCACCTTTATCTGTGATGGATTCCAGAGGCCGTCGTTATGACCACGTTCTTGTAAACAGGCCACCTTCCCCTCTGTTTTGTTGTTACTCCTAGTACCACCCCCGCAGTGACCATCACTGTTCAGCTCTCACTGGGGGCGAGGCTCCATGTCAGTGCCCTGCACCCATTAACCTTTTCAGCTGGATTGATAAGTATCTGCCAGGCTTTTCCACTCCATGCAACAGGCTGGTCTGACTATGATCGGGATCCAACCCAATCTGTCAGGCTGTCCCTGCCCATTCTCCACAAAGACTTGCTTCACACATTCCCCAATCCCTTCAAAACCCCCTTTCTTTCTCCCTCTTGCTTTCGTAAGATCTTACATTTCACAGAGCAATGGAAGCTATTGTAATGAACAAGAAAATCCTCACTTTCCCCCACAAATCCTCAAGCCTCTCTGCACGTTACCCACACGCGCCTGTTACAGTTGAGGGGACTGACCCTCCCGTGTGGGCTGATGCACCACAGTCCACGCTCCGCGCTCTTCCGGGATCTGTACCCTCTCTTCTTCCTGCTTCAGTGTCTCTGCAAATGCTCCCACCGCATCATCATCTGGAAAAGTCCTCCTGATCCCTTATCAGCGTCAGCATTCTCCTGAGTTGACCAGCCCTGGCCACTCGTCACACATCTCTCCCTCCAAGAGCCTCACAACAAAGCCTCCTGCGAGGAGGGGAAGCTCCACATCGGGACGTCCCACATGGCGGCTGCTGAGCCAGGAAGTGGTCAGTGTGACCGAGGAAGGGAAGTGTAAGCCGCACTAGTTTTAATGTTGAAATATAAACAGCACACGTGGCTGGAGGCCATCATGCTGGACGGTGCAGAAGGCAGGAGGGACTCCAGGAGAGGGTCCTGCCTCCTGCTCGCGGCACAGCCACCGCCCAACACGCTGCCTCCGCACACGTGCCCCCGGCACACCGCCAGTGAACGGCTGAGAGAGGGTCTTCTTACATTCTTAACCCTGTCCACAACCTCAGAGGTTCCACAGCACTTTCATGTACAAAATCTTATTTAATCCTCTGAGAACACTGTCCCTTAGTATTATCCCCAGGGGTCCTCAAACTTTTTAAACAGGGGGCCAGTTCACTGTCCCTCAGACCGTTGGAGGGCCGGACTATAGTTTAAAAAAAAAAAACTATGAACAAATTCCTATGCACACTGCACATATCTTATTTTGAAGTAAAAAAAACAAAACGGGAGCAAATACAATATTTGTATTTGCATGTGGCCTGCGGGCCGTAGTTTGAGGACCCCTGATTATCCCTGTTTGAAAAATGAAGAAACTAAGGCTCAAGCAAATCAGGTGACTTCCCAAGATGTCATAACTGGCAGAGGTGTTACTGGGACAGAAATCTGGGCATGCGATCTTTAAATCCCAGGCTTTATCTCTATACCATATCAGTTAATTCAAGAAAGGACATTTATTCTCAAACTAATAATAGGCTAGAATACAATTTCATCTATAGCTGCATTTATGTAAAAATTTCTCCAAAAAGGCAACAGCAAATGCAGCTAAAAAAAGACACTGGTGAATTCCAGTTTAAACCTCAGCTACCCATGTGAGGTTGCTGTGATGTGTGAAACAATGAACACAACTCCAAAGTCAAAATACCTGTGCTTGAAACCTGGCTCCAGCACAGACCACAGGTGTCAGCCCGGGAGGTCATGGAACTCTCCGAAGCTCACTTTCTTCATCTTGAAAGTGGAGGAAATGTACACATATTTCCTCTCCAAGCTTTTGAAGATCACAGGTAAATAACGCAACATAGCGAACATCATTCACTACAGTGGACATTCAATAAATGTTCAACTATTATTACTATTCATTGACAGAAAGTTCTCAATCTAACAAAAGGAAAAAAACCCCAGTAAGAGCAACATTTTTTCCCCCTCTAACAGTTAGAGTCTAACTGAATTGGGCCAGAGTCCCATCCGATTAAAGTTACTGACCTTATCATGTGGAAGAATATTGGCAGCGAACTTTACTGTGTGATAGATAAGTAGCCACTTCAGCTCTTGGCTGAACAAAGACTGCACAGCATGTAACTAAATATCCAGCCCAGCAATGAATGCACAGGAACCTAGCAGTACTCTCACCAGGAATGCGCACATTCCACTGAAAACCAGAGTTACTTGGGGAGGACAGGACCATTGTAATTCACAGAATACAAGAGGCTTGTATTTCACCCCGAGGTAAATCAAATCCGGGATTCATGTGAGCCTACCCTTCAAGGAAGAGCGCCAAATCCAGGGGACGCTTGGGTAACATGAGCCAGCCCTCTGCTCCACTGCTGCCTCCACAAAAGCACCACAAGTAAAACTGCCCATCTCGAGAGCAAATGCCTCAGATTTTGATTCATGCTATAAATAATCACAGGACGTCACAGCACGAAGCTATATTTTCCTTACAGGGCAAAAATAGGAGCCGTTAGAGGGTGCCGTTTTTAACACAGAACATGTTATTCGGATTACTTCTGGCAGATAATTTTTCTAGCATGAAAGAGAGTGGAGGCTTTGTAACTCCTGGGCTAAAATATGAGAAGTGTCTCTCAGGTAAATGATTTTGTGGAGAATGTTGTACAGTCAGATATTTTCTTCTCAAACTTGAACAAATTCCAACAATAATTCTAAGTTCAAATCTGTCACTGGTGAATGTGAGATGTAAGAGTATCTCTGGAAGGAACCCTACATTTTATCACAGTGAAATTTGGGGGAGTTTGTTGGGATCACTGGGAAGATCTGCACAAGTGTAAGAAGAGACTGGGTCCCCTCTGGTGTGTGGACAGAAAGACAAACACTTTATCTTTTCTTATTTTCACCTCCTCTATTTGAAAGGTACATGGTTTAAATTTAGGGCTATTGGTTACCCTTCTATTTCTTTTAAAATATATTTTATTGATTTTTTACAGAGAGGAAGGGAGAGGGATAGAGAGTTAGAAACATCGATGAGAGAGAAACATTGATCAGCTGCCTCCTGCACGTCCCCTACTGGGGATGTGCCCGCAACCAAGGTACGTGCCCTTGACCGGAATCGAACCTGGGACCCTTCAGTCCGCAGGCCGACGCTCTATCCACTGAGCCAAACCGGTTAGGGCTACACTTCTATTTTTAAACAATATGCTTAACCTTTATTTTTAAATATAAGAGCTCAAAAAATCCCTACGTAATCCATCAGTGACTAGATGTTTAAAATCATGAAGCGGAATGAGAAGGCCGAGGGAGTGATTCTCTATTAGGAACAGCCATGCTGGAGGTCAAGAGGAGGAACGAGAACCAGGCAAAAGGTCAGCAGAAAGCAGCCTGTCAAGTGAGAGGACAACCCAGAGCAGCCGGGCGGCCTGTTGTCACACAAAAGCCCCTGAACTGTGACCTGCTGGACTGACATGCAGCTCCCTGCACGGGGCTGTGGACTTGGCCAAATGACTTGCTCTGGCCATGGGGCTTGAGGGGCGTGATATCCCCTGTGGATACTGATGCTGCAATCCTCACCAGAGCGAGCCAAACCACCTCAAGAGCGTCCTGAAGGGATTCTGCACATGCCCGAGTGGCCTCCCACTCTCCAGGGCCGAGCCAGACTTCCACACAGGCTGTCACGGGAGCAAGGAGAGGGAGCTGCAGCAGAGGCCTCTGCTGTTCTGAGGCCACGGCTCAGAGTGGCTTCTGCCGAGGTCTGTGGGTCAAGCTGGTCGAAAGGCGAGAGCACATTTAAGAGGAAGGGAAACGAGTCCACCCCTTGATGGAGAAGCGGACATGTTACAGACACACACCCGCAGAACCGCTCAGCTTCCTCTGGACATCTCTGCAAACACTACACCACGGTCCTCAAATTATTAATTGTCCTCAAATTCTTGGCTCTATTTCTAGATTCTTTTTAAAAATCTCTTCCCATCAATATGTATTATTATTTATGTGCCAATGAAAAGCTGTTTTAGCTTGGTCCTACTTCATTCTCCTTCAAAAAAATTTTTTTGTAGAAATTCTCATTTATTTTCCCATATGTTCTTTTTCCAAAAAATTTATCTTTATTGTAAAAAACATTACATATGTCCCCCTTTTACCCCCTCAACCCACCCTTGCCCCCTCAGGCCATCACATGGATTCTACCTCTATTTTTAAAAGGCTGTTATGTAATTGGAATCACACTCCATATGTAGGAAAATTTATAGAGAATTTACCACACTGTGACTTCCATCCAAGAGTGTAATTCGTCTTTCCATTTACACAAGTCTTCTTTTATACCCCTGATAGCATGTTAAAGTTTTATTTTTATACAGGCTTCATACATTTCTTGAGTATATTCTTAAATAGCTTATTTTTATATTGCTATTGTAAATGATGTTTATGTTCTCCAACTGGTTATCAGAAAGAAAGCCACTAATTTTCATGCCCTGGATATGTTGTTGCATAACTTCTGGCAAGTGACTGACCCCCTTAAGGCTTAGTTTCCCTGAAGAAAAGCACCGAGTTGTGAGGAATAAATGAGTCCTCACATGTAGAGCCTGGCGTAAGGTAAGCGCCCAGTAAACGTTACCTACTATTAATATTATCACGTTCATTTGGTAATCAGCCATTTTACTGACTGGATTCTGTTGTTCTACTGGTTCTTCACTTGATCTCGGGGGCTTTTTAGCTCTACAGGATCCTCATAATCTTGGTAATTTTGTTCTCCTCTGTGAAAGGTTGTATTTCCTTTTAGAATGGCAATGGCTAATAGTTCCGAAAAATAATAAAAAAAATTATCTGGTGGGTGTCTTATTTCTGAAAGGCGGTAATATTTCTATTCTGAATGTAAGCGTTGCTACATCAAAATGCTACAGCATATCTATCAACTATGTAATTAGAGATAGTGCACAATTTGTGCACTTAAGTGTTTCCTGACCCTTTTCACCATTAAAAACGTCATCTTTGTATGTAACTATTTGGCACAATTGGCATGTTTCACTGCGCACCATGAAGCCTCCAGTGCGTGTCCTAAGCCCCAGATTCACACACCTTTCCTAAGACCACCGCAACCTGCGGCCCATCATCAAGGAGAGACCCTTCCGCCCGGCACCTCTGTGGGCCGCAAATCAGAGAACAGCTGTTGCGTCGTCACACTCACACCGTACGGGAGTCTAAATCCTCCTCTGTCCAAGCGACCGTCACCAGACTCCTGAAAGAGATCCCCACGGCAGGAACCAGCAGTCGTGCCAGAACTACTCTGTCAGAACAAGGGACGTTTAGGACGACGTGGTTCTTGGCTGAGGGCCTGCCCTGTGCACTGAGGACTGTTTAGCAGCACCCGGGCCTCCACACACGTGGTGGCAAAGCACCATCGACCGAGCTGTGATTTCCAAGAAGTTACCCCATATCCCAGACGGAGACCAAGGTCCCCTGGGAAATCGCCCCCAGCTGGACACCACTGTGTTAGGAGAGTGAAGTTCTAGGCACCAGACACAAAGCCCATGCTCACAGGCACACGATGGCTCAGATAAGCTTTGTTGCAGGCAGAGACTAAAGAAATGGAGAACTAAAATGTCGGATAAAATACTCACTTTGCTTTATAAGGTGAGTCAGAGCCAGAATTTTTTGTTTCCATTAAACTTTCATATTCCTTGGCCCTGAAAAGACAAAAGTGTAATCACTGTTATTTTGCTGCTAATTTTTATAACAAACAAAAACCTTGGCTGTGTTTTTCCTCTTCCAAAACTAGGGACATTACTACATTAACTTTAACACTTTGATTTCTGAAACTGCTTCTTTAAAATACTATAAATGCTGTCAAAAAAGACCTGAAAATACATTTTTCTTTATGGATAGAAAGCAGATTCATAAAAACACTACTGAATTTAAAGATGCTAAAATCATGATTAACTTTGAAACCATATTAAGTTTCTATGAAGTAGTTGAGTTGGCTGAGTATCTATGAACTCAAAGGCATATAATATGCAGTATTAAATATAGATAAAGAAGGGTAATTTCACTTTAGAAATAATTTCAAAGCCGGTAGAAACAATTTGACCAGACACTCAAGGCTCTGCTGTGTTTTGCTTGTGCTTTTTATACGGACTAAATGCCAACTGTCTGCAAACAGCCACCGTCTCACTCGGCTCCACTTGCCTGAACCAGGTAGCCGACAGCCGCCCACAGCCAGCCGTCTCACACAGGTGTCACTGCAGCGATCCACTAATGTTGCTTAATCTGTCGGTTTCTCTTTGGGGAGGAAAAAGCTACTTTAAATTTTAACTGCTCACCCAAAGGGTCCTCCCTTCAAAGAATTAGTGCAACAACTTATGAAAGAATTAGCCACAATGTATACCAACCCAGACAGCAATGGCAGGTGGAAAACTAAACTCTGCTTCATAAAAATGTGAAAGACACAAATTATAACAGGCCTAATAGGGAAAAAGCAAACTAGCACAGGTGATAGCTGGGAACTGAATAACTAAATCAGAATTAAATATTAAATTATGTATAATTTAAACCTTCATATGCTCAATGCTATCGGCCAAAATATTAAGACATATCAAAATGGGAAAATAACCACTTGGTAGCTGCAAGTAATTATGACCTCGGATGAAAGGTGGAAAAAGTAACTGTGAGGCAGGGTGAATCTGTGCCAGGCACTGTGCCGGGAGCTGTGTACGAACTGTTTCATACGGTCTGGAAACTCGACATGGTTTCATTTCCATCTAACAAAGAAGAAACTGCGGCTTTGGAAGATGTCTGTGATATCAAAGCACACACTTATCTGGGGCTTGAAGTGCAGGCAGCGAGAAGGTAAGAGCTAGCGTGGACACCCGTGGGAAGAGGACACCTGAGGTTTTGAGCAAAGAAAACGACATGATCTGACTCACATTTGACCAGCCCGCTCTGGCTGGAGTGTTTACAACAGACTGAGGGGCACGGGCGGAAGCAGGGAGAGCAGCAGAGCAACACCCCAGGCGAGAGAGGGAGCCTGGTGCAGGGCCAGCAGTGACGTTTGATACTTAGACTCTGAGTATATTTTAAAGCAAACCTAACATTATTTGCAGTTGGATTAGATGTGAAGTTAGTGGTAGAAAGAGAAGGGGCTGTGTTGGGGAGGGAAGAGCAGGGCCTTGCTTGGGACATACCAACTTGGAATAACACTGGAGACATAAACTTGGTAAGTGGAGGCTGTTTACAGCCACAGGACTGGGTTAGCTCGAATGTGCACACAGGGAGGGAAAAAGAAGTCCAAAGGGCCCATGGCCTCCGAGAGTCAGGAGGTTGGCAGGCTCTTTGCATAAACTAGAAATGAAGGACTATCATCCCCTGAAGTTTACTGCGGAACTACTTTTAGAAACTTGGAGGGACCTCAAAAAACACAATAAAAAAAACCTCTTCTGCCCTTTGCTTCAATGACCACTCTGAAGCTTTCATGATTCTGTAAAAGGAAATGGAGCCTTTCGTTGATTACAATGTGAAGTTGGAAACTAAAGAGATGACCACCACTCACCATTATTCTAGACCAGGGGTCCTCAAACTTTTTAAACAGGGGGCCAGTTCACTGTCCCTCAGACCGTTGGAGGGCCGGACTATAGTTTAAAAAAAAAACTATGAACAAATTCCTATGCACACTGCACATATCTTATTTTGAAGTAAAAAAACAAAACGGGAACAAATACAATATTTGTATTTGCATGTGGCCCGCGGGCCGTAGTTTGAGGACCCCTGTTCTAGACCCACGTTTCCCTGGGGGCCAGTTCACTGTCCCTCAGACCGTTGGAGGGCCGGACTATAGTTTAAAAAAAAAACTATGAACAAATTCCTATGCACACTGCACATATCTTATTTTGAAGTAAAAAAACAAAACGGGAACAAATACAATATTTGTATTTGCATGTGGCCCGCGGGCCGCAGTTTGAGGACCCCTGTTCTAGACCCACGTCTCCCTATTCCCATGTGTCAAGCTTCTCCATCTTTCGAGATATTTGGGAACAAAGGTATGACAGCACATTCAGACTACCTTCTCTCCGATCACCTACTCAGGAGGCACTGCACTGTGTCCTCGAACAAGACTCATCCGTCATCAGGGGGTGGCAGAGCTGCGAGGTCACGCTGCGCCACCAGCTACCTGGGCCTCAGATGTCACTTCGAGGCTGATGATAAACTACAGGTCTGACAACTCACTTTCCATTTCCAGATATTTCTTGAACTTTTTCTTGTTGTGACAGGCAACCAAATTGATTAAGCCTAGTCATGGGATTTAACACTACAGCCAGCAGACTTCTATTTGTTGATTGCTATTGATTTTCTTTAATACTTCATTTAAAAATCAATAGCTGGGAAGAAAAATAGGCCTGGTTTACACATACTAGACATACCACTGCATGCTGGAGGAGGCACAAGTTTGGCAGGGCCGCTGCATCAAATTATAAGAAGAGCTCTTAGCAGGTGAAGGCAAGGGCTTCAGATCGATAGGCAGTTTTCTTTCTCAATCAAAGAAAGTGGCTATAAATTAGGCTCATCAGTGTTATTTTCGAGGCTTTCTTGAAGTAAACAACTTTAAACTTTTTGTGGGGGTTAGAGGGTCTTCCTTGAATTTACATTAAAAAGTATACATCACTAATAGTTTTTCTTTTGTTTTTTTTTTGTTTTTTTTAAAATATATTTTATTGATTTTTTACAGAGAGGAAGGGAGAGGGATAGAGAGTTAGAAACATCCATGAGAGAGAAACACTGATCAGCCGCCTCCTCCACACTCCCCACGGGGATGTGCCCGCAACCAAGGTACATGCCCTTGGCCGGAATTGAACCTGGGACCCTTGAGTCCGCAGGCCGATGCTCTATCCACTGAGCCAAACCGGTTAGGGCTTGTTTTGTTTTTTAAGGGTAGTTATGGTACCTGGAGTTCATTCGGGCTTTTATCTTTTTGGCCTTTTTTTTATTTTTTTGCCGCTCTTCTCCATCTTTCAAAGGCTCTGGTGGAGCTGTACTTTCGACCACAATGTCAATAATGTACTTCTTTAAGGAAAGATGCTCCTGCAAAATAAATCAAATAATAAATATGATGACAAATAAAAAATAACACAGTATTGCTACAGGCTTACAGTAAGTATAAAAGATTATGCAGCCCAGCAGGCATGGCTCAGTGGTTGAGTGTCAACCTATGAACCAGGAGGTCAAAGTTCGATTCCCATTCAGGGCACATATGCCTGGGTTGCAGACTCAATCCCCAGTGGGATGTGTGCAGGAGGCAACCAATCAATGATTCCTTCTCATCATTGATGTTTCTATCTCTCTCTCCCTCTCCAAAATCAATAAAAACATTAAAAAATAAAAATAGCTATCATGAAATGGTATCTAGAATTGACTTCAAAATATTATTTGGGGAGTGGGTGAGATGTCTGTGGGTGAGGCAGAACTTACCACAAGGTCACCACTGTGAGGGCTCAGTGATGAGTAAGTATATGGAGGCTCGTCACACTGTTCTGTCTACTAGGGGGGATGTTTTACATTTTCCACAAAATACCAGTGTGGAAAACATTTATCGTGTATGAAAAAATAATCTGTACACCTGAATCTTAAAATTCTGTTTGGCTTACCAAAGTAAGTGAAATAACACTATTCATCTCTCTCAAGCATCCTAGAGCTGAACCCAAGATGCAATTAACACATGTGCGCACCATTCAAGTGCTGAAGTGTGCACTGCCAGCGTGAACCTGTTGTAAGAACAGGAGACAATCTCCTGCAGAAAAGTAGATGTAGACCGAGGAGGTGCTCTACACAAAGAAGCATGATGTACATTACTGATCCAATCACCTTCCTCACCTAGTCTTGTTACGTCTGAGGCTCTGGGATGGGGCACAGGTTAAGTGGCTATTATCTTGGCCTAGAAACAGTGCTGACCAAAAACAGTCAGGCCCTGCTTTACAAAGGCAGTAAGATGAAGGTCCTAACGCTTTTCACTTCACTCCACACCCAAATCTGTGCGGACAAGGACACCAGCAGAATCCGTCCTGACACTGATCTTGCTGCACAAGGTCTGGCATCAGTACACCTGAGCAATGTTTGCACACCTGTGTACACAGGCCAGCAGCCTCCCTCTCCCTCAAACTATCCTTAGCAGGAGTATAATCCATACAATTTGGTTGCCTAATTATTTTTCCTCCCTAATCACTGTGCGGGGCACAGGTTAAGTGGCTATTATCTTGGCCTAGAAACAGTGCTGACTAAAAACAGTCAGGCCCTGCTTTACAAAGGCAGTAAGACGAAGGTCCTAACGCTTTTCACTTCACTCCACACCCAAATCTGTGTGGACAAGGACACCAGCAGAATCCGTCCTGACACTGATCTTGCTGCACAAGGTCTGGCATCAGTACACCTGAGCAATGTTTGCACACCTGTGTACACAGGCCAGCAGCCTCCCTCTCCCTCAAACTATCCTTAGCAGGAGTATAATCCATACAATTTGGTTGCCTAATTATTTTTCCTCCCTAATCACTGTGCTAGATTCCATTGTTCTAGATATGATTTGAGCCCTGCCCTGAACCATAGAACCTAATCTTTGGGCTCCAACCCTTGATGACATCCTTTCTTAAAACCCCCAGAAACTGGTTAGGATGAGAAAAACACACAGCAACCCCACCCCATCTTACATGAAATGGTGCTGCTTCAAGTTTTCTACAGCGCTGGCCTTCCCCAGACCCTCTGTTCTCTGTGAACAGCTAACTAGGCCCAGAGCCCCAGTTTGCTCAATCTACACTAATAAAAGACAAAGATGATAATTGACCGTACCTTTGATATGCCCACCAGCCAATCAGAGCGACTATATGCAAATTAACCCAACCAAGATGGCGGTTAATTTGCATATACTGGCTGGGAGCGAAGACTGAAGACAACATGGAAGTGATGAGCTGCAGAAGGGAGCAAAGTAGAGGCGGCGGAGACAGGAACGGAGCAAAGGCAGCGGGGCGGGAGGGAAACCAGCCGGGTGGCGGGGCGGGAGCGAAGCCTGCCTCAGCGGGGTTCGCTCCCTTTTCTGCTTCGCTCCAGCCGCAGGAAGCCCTATTCTTGCAGGAATCTTCCTGCAACGGGCCTCTAGTATATAATAAAATGCTCAGGAAAAAATATAGATACTGTAAATAATGTCACTTTTGTAGTTACCATAAGGAAATAGAGAAATACTAAAATATCTCTCTATAAATATATTCATTGTAAGTGAGATTTACAACAAAATATTAGTAGTAGGGATTTGCTTACACAAATTACGGCCCATGCATCAATATGAGACTGACAATCAGATTTCATGACTTTTAAGCAATAGTAACAATAAAAACATTCATCGTATAACAATAAACAAAAATTCAGGACTCATATCTATGTAATAGTTTATATAGATATAAATAAGATTTATATTATCAAAATGTTAACAGTAGGCATTATTCTTTCTAAAACATTCTATAATTACTATCCTCTATAATAAAAGCCCAATATGCAAACTGTCCCCTCGGGCGGTCGTTCGACCAGTTCGACCACTCGCTATGACATGCACTGACCACCAGGGGAGGGCGTGGGACATGGCGGGCATCGGCGATGCGGCGCCGGCAGCAGGTGGCAGTGAAGGCACTGCCAGCCACGATGGGCCTGGATGACAGCAGGACCATGGTGGAATGGTAGGGGGCAGCACCAGGCCACGGCGAGGTGCCAGGCGGGGCTGTGGGGCTGCAAGGCTGGGGGCATGAGCTGGGGCCCGATCCCCGCAGGCCACCCCGAGGGACCCCACCCATGCACGAATTTGTGCACCAGGCCTCTAGTATATTAATATTTTTGTTGCAAAATTAGTAAGAAAATGCAAGGAAAAGCAAGCTCTTTAAAGAAAAGAAAGTCAATTTGTATAAGGGCACAGCTCTAGGCTTACTTGTGCTGTGGAAGAATGGGTATAACTGTGTAAAAATACACTCATCTTTTTGTATTTACCCAAAATTCTAATTAATATGCCACGAGCACAAGGAAAAGCAAAATATACTCTTAGTCTTTTTCCAAATATAAATCAATCAGGACCAAAAATCATCCAAAAGGCCCCGGATCTCCTTCCTTCCTAATACCATTTGAAAACACACACTCCTGTCTTCACAGAGTCTTGCTCTCCTACCAACCAGTTGGAAGGCTCTTATTAAAGGGGAAATAAGTGGTAATGGAAGTGACATGACTTGAGGTGGCAAACACACAATACAATATACAGATGATATATTACAGAATTGTACACCTTAAACCTATATAATTTTATTAAGCAATGTAACCCCACTACTACACACACACACACACACGCACATATATACACACATATATATGTATATACTAGAGGCCCGATGCACGAAATTGGTGTGCGTGGGGGAGGGGGGTCCCTCAGCCTGGCCTGTGCCTCCTCGCTCCTAACCATCTGCCTGCTCGCTCCTTACCGCTGGGCTCACCACTCCTTAGCGCTGCCGCAGAGGCGCTGCGCTCACCAGCCATGAGCCTGACTTCTGGCTGAGTGGCGCTCCCCCTGTGGTCAGTGTGCATCATAGCAACCGGTTGTTCTGGTTGTTCCGCCATAATGGTCGCTTAGGCTTTTATTATATAGACTAGAGGCCTGTTGCAGGAAGATTCCTGCAAGAATAGGGCTTCCTCGGGCCTATTCCTGCAAGAATAGCACTTCCTGAGACCGCAGCGAAGCAGAGAAGGGAGCGAAGCCCACTGAGGCGGGCTTCGCTCCCTTCTCCGCTGCCTCGCTCCCTCCGTTCGCCACTTCGCCCTCGGCTCCGTCTCCGCCGCCTCGGCTCCCTCCCTTCCCCGCCGCCTCGGCTCCCTCCCATGTCCTCTGCTTCGCCTCCCTCCCGTGTCCGCCACTTTACTCCCTCCCATGTCCGCTGCCTTAGCTCCGCTCCCGTCTCTGCTACCTCCGATCCGTTCCCTTCTCCACCACTTGGCTCCCTTTTGCAGTGCTTGGCTTCCTTCTACACTGTCTTCAGTCTTCGCTGGGCGCCTGTGTATGCAAATTAACCACCATCTTTGTTGGGTTAATTTGCATACTCTTCTGATTGGCTGGTGGGTGTAGCGAAGTACGGTCAATTAGCATCTTTGTCTTTCATTAGTGTAGATATATATCTTATTTGTCACTGTTCATTCTACATAAGCATTAAGAGCAGACAGTTTTGAGGAATGTTCCCTATTCACTTAAGTGCTGGATTAGTTGCAAAGTAACACAAGATGAAATAAAAATTATCTCTCCCCCTGCTCGCATAAAAAAAAAAAGAGCAGTTTTCTTATAGGCATAGAAGTGCAGATTGACACATCTATAATCATAAAAGCATAATATGCTAATTAGACCGGACATCCTTCCGGATGACCTTCCGGACGAAGCCGGGGCTGCAAGGGAAGCCCGGGTCCTGGGTGCCTGCCGGCGGCCGGAGGGAAGCCTGGGTCCCGGGTGCCAGAGGGAAGCCGGTGCCGGCAGCCAGGGGAAGGAAGGCCTACTCTTGCATGAATTTTGTGCATCGGGCCTCTAGTTAGAAATAACACTGAACTGTAAGTCAAAGTGTCTACACCAGGATAAATTCTGCAACTCATGACAGAGTGACTTCTCTGGGCCTCAGTTCCCTCACTAGTAAAATAAAGGCATTAGACAATAAATTCTAAAGTGCCCCCTTTATAACATTCTAAGAATCAATGTGAAAACACCAAAAGGTAATTAAGGATGGCTAATTCCACACACGCACACTAAAAAAATGTGAAGTCTGGTTTTTAAGTCACAATTGTGACTTCTCATTTAAGCATCATTGCTATAATATGAAATACTAATAAATGTATGTAAGGAAACTAATACTATACAGACATGATCTCATCAGAGTTTATACCCCTCTTATTCTTTTAATTACCTTTTATGGCATACTAGACCAAAGCTCTGGCCTTTCTAACATAATTTAATATATTAAATACTGAGGTTTATGATCCTGATATTCTATCTAACTCCTCCTAAAGGTTCTCATAATTCCTGATTT